ATCAAAAACTCATAAATTCCCTTTGTGGTTCTTCCATAGCTCAAGGATAATGAATAGAAAAACAAGATCTCCCCCCCCCCCCCCCTCCCCTAAGAAAGATAAGCCAAATCTTATCTAAGTGAAAAGATAAGGTTTGGTCAAAAGTGAGAAAATTTGGTCAAAGCGCGGTGTGGATGTATCGTGCAGAATGGAAGGTTCTGCTCGATATGTGTTGCTCGATGCAGCCTTTCTCCTGTCGCGGTTCGATCATCCGGACGATCTCTCATCATGATGCGAGTTTCGGTGTGTATCGTGGAAGACGTCAGGGATTCTGCTTAATGCTGGACCCCGATATGTCCTGTTTCACCAAATCGGCCAGTACGGCCTCCTCTGCTCGACATGCCATCCCGATGCAATCTTGGAGTTCTTGACCAAACCTCTCGCTCTTCGTCCTGTGCTCCACGTCGGGCATGCTCCATGGGTGTTCTGGTCGATGCACCACCCTGATACAGGATCAGAATATGCAAGACAGAATTTCTACGGGCATTTCCATGGATATCTACGGCTCCAAACTCCTTCCAAGATCCTAAGCCTCCAAATACACTTGAGATACACCTCAAACATGCAAATGTATGCATTCCTAATCTAAATGCATGCATGGCTACTTCTAGATGCATAATGAACTAAAGTAATAAGATATGATGCATAGGAAGGGAAAATATGTATAATTTGGTGCTTAAAACACTTTAATATAACGAGCTATCACCCCCCCCCCCCCCCCCCCCCCCCCCCCCTCCCCTCCTTCTAGCGCTAATTGTTTGAGAGCCATTTATAAATGCTTACAGGATATGTGTGTTCATTCGGCTAGCGGAGCTGGGTCTCTGATTTTCGTCGTTTGGGGGATAAGCACCACATACCGGGGTGAAAGTCTGGCGGGTCCTGCATATACTGGCAAACGAGTTAGTCGGGCCTCCAGGAGACCCAAAGGGGGTTTCCCTCCTGAAAGTTCTCTAACACTCAATTCAATGCACACCCTAGTAATCATATTAATTTTGGAGGGTAGGTTTGGTGAGGTATTTATGATTTGGGTATCCCGTCTGAGGATCGTGATACCTGTTTGATGTTTGGTAAGGATGGAAGTATGGTAAAGGGACTATGACGAGAGCTAGGTAGGAACTCTCTCTACATGAATATTACAATGTATGACAGAGGGGGAAATGAAGACTTATCTCGGCTGGCGTTCCTTCCAGGAGACGGCGAGCGTACCTCCTGCAGTCTTGCTGTCTGAACAAGACCGGGGCAAGCTTCAGTGAGGTAGAGATTGGAGGTTTCTCCTCTCCCTTTCTATCTCTCATTTTGTGGTGTATTCTATCTAGAATTGGTCTCAGTTTTAAAGTTACAGATCTCCTTTTGTTTCGGCCTTAAACCTTTTTTTTATACTCTATTCTCTGGAAGCAGGTGAATTAGTACAGCACACCTGACTTCGTAAATCTGCTACTTCTATTACTAATAAAAGTTGATGTTAAATGCCTATAAAAGTGTCCACATAGGATTTAAAAGATATAATTCTCTTGGTACACATCATCATTATCTATAGTTAATTATATTTTGTATATTAAAATTAACTAATTCGTTTTTATTATTATAAGGAAAATTTTTAAATTTTAATTAATTTTCTTTTTTGTTGTTATTAGGAAAGTTTCAAAATTTTAAATTAGTTATTATAAAAAAGAGTTTATAAAGTAGATCTTATTTTTTTATTAACAATAAAAAGTAAATTAACATATAAATATTTTTAACAAAAAAAATTAACATATAAATAGATTATTAAAGAAAAACATATATATTAAACAAAATAAATAAAAACCATATTTAAGACCATAATTAAACTATTTCAAAATTTTATGGTCCATTACAAACAATTAAAATCTGAACTGATAACCTAAAATATATTAGTTATGGTCCGTATTGATGTCTTAGCCCAATGAAAGTGTCCACATATGACGTAGAAACTCAATCTGATTGGTCTAAATCAACATTTATCATTAAACATAACAATTTTAAATAAAATTAATAATTTAAATAAATTAAACCATGCAAAAATATAAAATTATCATAGTAGATTAGAAAACTAAGATAAAAAAAGTATAACTAACAAAATATATAAAATATAATTATGTCAAAAATCCAAATCTATAATGTTTGCCAAAATAAAATAGAAATTTATTGTCACAAAAACTAAACTAACAAAAACAAATATGTAAATGACATATATATCTTGAATGAGTAATTTATTTAGAAAACTATTAAAATTAAATTGTTATTTAAAAACTATCAATACTATCAAAAACAATTCATGTTAAATTAACAAAAGAAAAAGTCATTTAAAACTTGATATTTAGCTAATTATTTATAAAATCAACACAAAAATCTGAACTAACCAAAAAAATTTAACTAACAAAAAATCAAACGTAAATTATTTTTTGCAACATGTCAATATAATTAAAATGAATCAAAAAAAATTAATTAACAAAAAAGGATATTAATTTGATATCTATGCTATTTTTTATTTAACAAAATCAATATAAACAAAATAAGTTAGAAAATTAAAAAAAAAACTTAAGTAATACTAAAAAGAGAAATTGGTAGAAATAACTATCAAAAAATTATAAATTAACTATATAACTATTACATTGTATTGGTTAGAATAATGCTAGAATTTATGTATTATAGACAATACTATCCTCTCTCTCTCTTTTCATTGTTTTCACGCCTTTCTTTTTATGTTTCGTCTTTTTCTTTTCCAAAATCTTTCTTAAATTTCATGGTCACCATTTCATCTCTCTCTTCTTAACAAAATCATGTAATGTGACGAGTCCTTGATTCATATTCCATATGTGGCAACGCCAATTCCTCCAATCATCACTCACTACGACACATCTCTATTTAGCACACTTTATAAATTCTGATTCAGTAAAGTTGAACATTAAAGTATCAATAAACAATATTAACACCGATTTTTGCTTTTCAAATTCACCCTCAACATGATCTGATTATTGTATTCTATGTTATTTGAAATTATGTACTATACTATTTTGTTATTCAAAGGATAAAAATGGTAAAAAACAGTGTTTTTGATTACTTACTTTATAATATATTTTACATAGCTATGTTCTTTAATATCAAGTCCAATATGGACATACAGCAAATTGACCCTATTAAAAACTTTTACTAACAAAAAAAGATAAATATTTAAGCTAATTATTTAATAAATTAATATTAAGAAATTAATTAACAAAGAAAAATAAAACGAAATTTAAGTTTTACAAAATGTTATTTTAAAAAAATCATCTAAAAAAAATTGACTTGATATCTGACTAAATATTTAAACAATCAATATTAGAATATTTAACTAACAAAAAACAAAAAATAAAGTTATGTCTTCAAAAATATCGATATTTTCAAAATAATTATGTGTTAAAATAAAATAGAAATCAATATCAAGAGAGGTAAATTATCAAAGGAAAAATTTGTATAAAGAAAACCTAGCTTGATATTTAGGCTAATATTTTGAAAAATCAACATAAAAGAATTAACTAAAAAAAACAAATGATGGTATAGGCTTTTGAAAGAAGTCCACATAAAATTTAGAATACTCAGTTATAGCATGTCAAAATAGCATTATAATTAAAATAAAAATTAATGTAAAAACAAATTTAATAAATAAAAAATATTTATGTAAAAGAGATTAAATTAATATATGCTACCTATTTGAAAAATCAAAAACAAAAGAGATTAAGTAATATATATATATATGTTTTAAATATAATAAACATGCACAAAACTCGATAAATTAAAATAAAATATAAAATTACTATAGAAAGATATGTAAAATAACAAAAAAAAATTTAAGAAGAAAATTAGTTTGAAATTTAGTTCTAGAAAATTCATGATTTCTAAAATATTGATATTGACTATGAATAACCATATAAAGTTACAGTGGGTTATACAAGTTTTAAATTAAATATATTATTTAGATTTGTAATGACTAATATATTGGTTGCGTCTAGTTTAAAAACTAACATAAAAAATACTATACAAATAACTTTACATTCGAAATATAACGACTAATTTATACATAGTTACTACTTATAACTTAGCCAACATGAACAGCACATGAGTAATATCTTCTATAATTTCCTTTAAATAGTAAAGTATAATAAATTTATGAATCAAATTCAAATTAGAATTTATTTAGATAAACTATTTAAATCAAAACATGAATAAACCACACAGAAGATAAAAACAGTGACAATATGAAGACTCCACACTATCTTACATGTTTAAAAACAAAAACTATCAAATAGTTGACTGCAAATAAGACAGATCTTATAAACTGAACAGAGATATAACTTAAAATCTATAGAAGATCTGGTAGAGAAGCAAGAAGCAGCTTTACATGATTATTGTAGCATCCTAACAAAAGTAAATCCGAAGCAACATGAATCATATATTATATATACATAGGTAAACAACATCATTGAGACATATAATCAAAAACTAAATATTTGAACATATAAATCTTAAAAAAGAAGAACTATAGAAATCCTAAGGACACAAAACAAAATACCAAAAAATTAGTAAAAAAATTATTCTCTAAATCAAATGTATACACGTCGAAGTTGGATAATTCGTTAGATGTTATTACTGTGATTTTACTTAATAAGATTTATAATTTTATAATTAAAATAGGTAAACATATATATTATGTTTTAGTATAGTTTTGATAATTTAAAAAATATCAACTAAAAAAACTAAATTAAATTATTAATACATACTCGCGCATAGGACCAGTTAAAAATCTAGTATTCAAAAAGAGTTCACTAGAGAATCGTTAACAGACCCACATGAAAAAATTAATGCTCGGATAGGCCTAATAACCACATATCGTCTCAAAATTGATTATAGTAAATGTGAATCCAACACTAAGTCTTTTTAAATCTAATAAAACCGTGTACAAGTTCAATAATTTTTTTAAACTTTTAAAATCAAACAATATACAGTTCTTAGAGATATATGCAACAATATGGAGTCCCCTGTAACACAATTTCTGTTACATTGAATCTTTCAAAAATATGTCACCGAATCTAGCTGTCACTCGTTTAATTCAGATTATGTTATAACCTATAGATGTTAATAATCCTCCACGTATACATATTTCTATGAATATAATCTTCCATGTATATAGCTCCTTTTCTAGTAATAAGGATCTTTAAAGACAATCACATAAACTATACAACAAATCGCAAATACTATAATCAAAACATCGAATGTAAGAGCAGTCATGGCTTGATCACTAAGCTCCATGTTTCTTCCACCTAACCGATCAACCATATCGGGTATAGATTCATAGTTCCGAAACTCTTGCTCTTTCGGATCCTCGAGCTTCATTCTCATTTTCTCAGCTTGACGACTCGCTACCTCTTGAGCCAATGTCCAGTCATAGAATCTCCTGGTCTCTTCATCGCTCAAAACATCGTACACTTCTCTCAGTTTCATAAACTTGTCTGAAGCTGTTTTAAGCGGTAATGAAGTTGTGTCTGGATGATATTCTTTTGATAATCTCCGGTACGCAGATTTTATCTCTTCTAGATCAGCATCCGTTGAAACACCTAAGAATCTGATAATGATACAATTAAAAATTATAATCTATTTGAAAAGAAAACAAATTACTCTCTTTGTTTCATTTTAAAAGGTGTTTCGGTTTTTACACACAAATTAAAAACCCCATTTAATTTTCTAATTTCTATAGTAAAACAACATTTATTGTCTACCCAAACATAACAAAACAAGTTTCACAATATCAATAGTCACAAAATTAATAGCTTTTTTGTGTAAAATTAATAGTTCTACTTAAAACATCAGTTAAAGTGAAACAGAGAGAGTGTGTAATGAGAATCTGAGTGTCTCTCACTGGTAATGAGAATCAAAAGAGTCTTTGATTAGTTCTGCAAACTTGTCGTCGCTAAAAATACTATTTCTCTCCTCCTCAACGGATTTGGTCGGGTCGGATCCACCACCTATCCAGCCTTCGTCCGGGTTTTCCCAGTGGATCCTTGTGTCTACTCCAGGCGATGGTTTTGGTGGTTTTGGTGAGTCTTGTGACGAGTGAATATGCATCACTCTTCTTCTTGTTATCATTCTAAATGCTCTCATTTCGTTCTTGAACTGCGTGCCGTTTTGGATTTTGGGAAAGAAAATGCAGGACGTTTGAGCATAGGTGGAAGTTGCAGAAGCCATGGTGTACTGTGTTTGAAGATGGTTTGTTGTTTGTTGTTCATGTTTTTGGTTTCTGTTTCAATCACAGAAACTTGTCCCACGGCCTCGTGATATGTGTGGTGTGGAGTTTTCTATCTCTTCCTAGTCCTATCTGCGGTCCACTAGAATATAAATAAAAATAAATTAAGAAGACCAATCTAAAAACTGTAGTTCACATATTTTCTCTGTTTGATAGTTTATAGACATTCAAATGGTGATTTTAATTTAACTCTCAGATAATGATTAAATAAAAAAGTAAAATAAATAATTAAAAATTAATTTGATATATGTTATGTATGAAAATTATGACTTTTTGTTTTTATAAATTATTTGATGCGATTTTAGTAGATAACTATTAGATTACTATGTTCACAGTTGATTACTAGGCTAACTAATATGATGTTTAATTAGTATATTGTGTAAATATCGAGTTAAGTCAATTCTCATATAATAGAAAATAAAATTATCATGTTACCAGTGTTATTATATCAAAAAATTATCGTATTAATTTTGTGAGCATGATAATTATTGTGGTAACTTTGTTATTATTTCACACAAAAATATGAGTTAATTTTGTTAATTTTATAAGATGCAAAATTATTTTAATAATTACGTAATTAACCATCATCAGCATTATTGTTAACTCTATTGTTAGTATCGTCCACCATCTTTCACCACCATCATCACTGTCTTTCACCACCACTACCATCATCATTATCACCACCACTGTCAATGTTGCTACGACCGCCGCCACCACCACCACCACCATTTTTATCTTGTTTCTCCTTAAACCACATCAATCAAAAGTTTTAGTAAAAAGCAAGAGTATTTTTGTCTTTTAAAAATAAACAGTAATGAAGAGAGAAAAAAAAATCTTGCTACTTAATTGTCAGATTATTGGATCTCCATATTACAATTTCCCACATTCAAATAATTATGTAAATGTGTCTGATACGAATATCAGGGTAAGAATGCTAGAAAAGAAAGCAAAGAAATTGACACTTTACGGTAGGACCGCAAAAATCCATATTAAAAATTATGAATATAAAACGATTGAAATCAATATAATAAACGATAACTTAGTATAAAACGACTAAATAAGACAATAAAGAAATAAATGAATACATGGAGTCGAGATATGATCTCTTTCTTTAAATCTTTAAATCTTATGTAGTGTGGCGGTTTGAAAAGATTCAGAATCACAGGAGACAACCGTGTTTGAGACTAAAGTCACAGCACTCGACTACAGAATCTGCGAACTAAAGATATATGTTATTCTCTCGAGACTTACCTTAGGACTGTAGAGATGAGAGGGTTATGCTGGATATTGGTGTTTTTGAAAGCTTATGTTTCGCTGATAATGAATAATGAATTAGAGAGGCGAGTATATATAGCAGAGGAGTAGCATATGGCACAAGGATTAACCTTGGTGGTTACGATCAGATAAACAGAAATATTTTAAAAAATTTGTATCAATTTGTAGTTAAGGATAAGAGAAACGGAAATTTCAGTCATAAAATAAGTCAATAAGTATTTAGTCCAAAAAAATATCTTTTGCGGGCCAAAGGCCCAAATTCACCAAAATTCGAGCCGAGCCCGGCTCGGCACGGGAGTGGTGGTGCGCGTATGTGTGGGGTTTCGTATAACAATCATTTTTCTCTTTTTTTATAGTGTTTTTCTTCTCAAAGCTATTGAACCTTGTTATGAATGCATTAATACATATATATACTAGTGGAAAAAGTTTTAAACTTCCAATGCATACATGTCCACTTTTACGAATGATTTCTCATTCAAATTAATTTTGTTTTTGACAAATAATTATTCTATTTCATAGTGCTCATTACAAAAATATTTAATAAATCCATAATTAAGTCATTTCTATCACTAAGCTCATCAAAAAAATCGTGGGAAAGTTGGCCTGAGCCATTTGTCAAAAAAAATGAGTTCCCACATTTATTAGGTATCAAATTCATACAGACCAAATGTCACACAACGTTATGCAAGAGTAAGATTAAGCTAAGAAAATATATGGTTGTTTGTTTGTAACATGACTAATAACTAAATAGAAAACAAAAAATGATGTAAATTCAACTGAGAAAATATAAGCGTTAGGATAATTTGCAGTAATTTAAGAATTACTATGGAACAAAAAAAATGACATTAACATAGAACTCAAATAACATATTTATAGCCAACACACTGTTGTGGTGTTAAGTACTATGTTTAGTAATCTAGATTCTAAACCCTCGTTTAAGCTTAAAATTATAAAAAATTCATTAATCTACAGATTTAACATATTCACAAATCATTTAGCATCAGTTGTATGTTAAAAGACAATTTGCTCAATTATATTCTTTCGGAAATTTAGCAACATTTTTTATTAGTAGATTATTTTTAGGATCATAAACTAGGAGACCAGTCTAAGCAATAAGTATAATGCATAGATCAAGAACTCTAAAGATGTGTTCTTAACAGATCAAATTCAACAATTCATGAAAATCTCTAGAAACCGTAATACCTATACTATAGCTCTACCCAGATATGATATAGGTAATAAACAAAGAGGTATAAGAGAAAATATATTGAAATTTAATAAAAGGGTTGGTAAATCTTCTCCCAATTTGTACAAACAGGTTCAGTGGTTTCCTCCTCACTCAGAAAAAGTAAATTCAAATTTTGATAGACAATAAATCGTGTCTAGAGTCGGAGTTAATCGAGTTAAGATAAATTCAAAGACAAACTAGTTCATAAATATCTTTTTCGTTTATGAAAAAGATCGACGATCCCAAGATCAATCTATGTTCTTATACATGTATGATATGTCTGGCTACATTGATCCATGAGTTGATTGGTTGATCATGAGTGGATCTGTAGCATCAGTATCTGAGGAAATTAGAAATGGTCGAGGTGGGCAGTACATTGGTCCGAGGGATGATCGAGCCAAAGTTCATATATTGGCTGGGAATTGAGAGGTTCAGACTATGGTCGGGTGATGACTAGGAAATAGTCGATAGATGGCTGGGATAGCCTAGTAGGATGGACCATCTCCAGAAAAAAATGGTCCAATCCATGAGAAAATGGGGTTAGTCCGAGTGAGAGTGGACTGTATCCGGGAGAAAAGAAAATCTCCAAGAGAAAATGAAAATTAAACGAGGTAGTATGATTTATCCGAGAGAGAATGGGAAAATTAACTCAGATAAAGACGGTTTATCCGAGAGATAAAGAAACAGCCGGAGGGAAACTGGGCTGGGCAATGGACCGTATGAGTTGGTCGGCTAAAACGTAGTTTACCACGTAGATGGTAGAGCTGGTACGGATTATAGCCGAGATAATCTGATCGGATCAGGATAAATCCTACTCCGAGTTACCTAGGGTTTTGTGAGTATATAAGGTGTTTTTGAGACTTATCTCGAGAGTGTTGCGTTTATTGCGAATAATAAAGCAAGAGAAAGAGATTAGTCAAGAGAAAACCCAAGAAAAGTCAGTTTATCCTGCGGATAGGTGAGAGAGATTGAAGGTTCGCCGTGCAGATCTGACCATTGCCGAGATAAACTGGTAAGCGATCGGATATCTCCCTTTGTGTCGAGTTTCCATCGGATAACCTCGAGCTAATAGGTGTATTTTGTGGGGTTTCTGAGGGAAAACAGAATTTGGCTCAAAGAAAGGTGAACGGATCGAGAGATAGCCGAGGATAAGGAGATCGAATCATAGCTGTAGCCGAGAGATCTTTATGGTGATCAGATATTCGTTTCCACGCGAGTTTCATCGGGATTTCTTCTGACCAATCTGTTTCCAACCTTGTCTAAGGTGAGTGCGTGAATGTGGTTGATGTCTAGGATCGTTGGATTGCTAGGGTTTGATGTTTTGCATGTTTGATTGTGTGATTTTCATGTTGTGTGCTTAGAAACTGATAAGCGATTGTATTTTATGGTATTGTGAGGTGTTTACCGTGGCATAGATGATGTCTAGCTAACCTCAGGGTAATCCGGATCATGTACTAGCTTAGGAGATGTGGGATTCTCGCTGAAGTAGGCATGGGTTTTAAAAAAGGATTGATCTTGGGTGGTTAGGTTAGATGATCATGGCCGTTTGATATATGTTATGTTTATTGCGAATTGATTGTATGGGATGTTGAATCCAATAGTATGAATGCGTGAATGGTACTGGCCAAGATGTTACGGGATGATCGTACTCACTAAGTATTTATGACAATACTTATGCCTCTCTTGTTTGAGTGTGCAGGAACTAAGCAGTAAGTGGAGCGAGATCAGCGTCAGTGATGAACATGGATGGATCAGGGATTGGGTGTTTTATGTTTTAGGACGTGTGTTTTATCTTATGGGCTTTGGTGTTTACCGTTTAGGTTGCTAGATGATCTGTTGTATTAATTAGCGAACCTTGTGATTTGTTTTAAGATAACCCTCGAATCTTGTTAAGTGTTTTTATGCAAATTTTAGTGAAATGAAATGAGTTATTGAATCTGCCGTGTATTGATGAATGCAAAGAAAAAGTTTAAAATTTTGGCTAAGTATAAAACCAAACTGTTAGGATGTAGTGAAGGCACGGCTGACGTTTAGTTAGCCGGATCGGGCCTCCGCAAGTTGGTATCAGAGCATTTTACGCTTCTAGGACTGGTTGCTGGTGATTGCTGTGGTTTGTTTGTGTGGGGTTTAAGGGGGTCCGATCCATTCTTCACTACCAGATCTTGCGGTAAGGTTTTGTGTGCTGTGTTTGTGAACACGTATTGAGTTAGCTTCGGCTAACTGGCATGAATGTACTTGCAGATGATTGATACCAGGAGAACTGTGAGAAACAATGGGGATCAACAGGCTGCAGGGTCTGTGAACACAGTGAACGATGATGTTCAGAATGTGGCAAGGGATGCCGAGGCACTAGCGCCTGGGGTTGCAGCTAAGAATGCTGCGGGTGCAGCGAATGCAACCGGGAATGCTGCGGGTGCAGCCAATGTGGCAGCAGGGAATGCTGCGGGTGCAGCGGGTGTAGCAGCTGGGATAGCTGGGAATGCAGCTGGGGTTGCTGCGAATGTGGCACCAGTGGGGTTAGAGGCTGTGCTAGGGATGTTGGCACAGGTACTAGCCAGACTACCTGCGGTGGCTCCTGCTCTGGCTGTTGCAGCAGCACCACAAGTAGTTCAGCCAGGTGGGGTTAATGCGGATGTAGTTGGGAAAGAGGCGGACCAAGTGAAGAGGGTTCCAACTTACCTCAAGGTTCTGGATCATATGGTGCGGTTGGGAACCAATTTCTTTTCCGGTGGAACCACGCCTATTGAGGCGGATGAGTGGAAGATGAGACTGGAGCGGAACTTCGAGTCTATCCGATGTCCTGAGGGTTATAGGAGGGACATAGTCTTGCACTACTTGGAGGGTGATATTACCATATATTTTGCATATTTAGCATACATTTAGAGT